TCGTATCGGGGATCGTTGATGATATCCTGCTTGGGTGTGCGGGCAAAGCCACCAACTTCGCGTATGTTGTCACCTTGGCTAGCTTGAGATCGGTGTACCGAAACGTCAAGCTGAGGGATTTCGGGGCCTTCGGATGTGTAAGAATGGGAAGGAATTTCCAAGAGCTGGAGACGAAGAGCAGCTTCGCGTCGGCCTTGATCGATGCTGTGGGGTGTGACGCCAAGGTCACCAGTTGATGAGGAGCCGAATGTAGACTGTGGAGTTGCCGAAGTGTTTGATTGAATTGGACTCAAGCCAGTGGCTTGGAAAGGTGTCGAAGGCGTGGAGTTTGAAGACGAAGAATGGGAACTCTTCGAGATCGATTTACTAACTTGTTGGCTATTGTGTTCGCTGGGCTGCTTGCCCAGCTGTTCGGTATTTTGTTGGCTATTGTGTTCGCTGGGCTGCTCGCCCAGCTGTTCGGTGACTTGTTGGCTGTCGTGTTCGCTGGGCTGCTCGCCCAGCTGTTCGGTAGTTGGTTGGCTGTCGTGTTCGCTGGGCTGCTCGCCCAGCTGTTCGGTAGTTGGTTGGCTGTCGTGTTCGCTGGGCTGCTCGCCCAGCTGTTCGGTAGTTGGTTGGCTGCCGTGTTCGCTGGGCTGTTCGATAGGGTGTAGGGTGTTTCGCTGGCCATCGTGAGAGCTGCGCTGTTCGGTATTGTGTTGCTTATTGTGTTCGCTGGGCTGTTCGGCCCTGACGGCTGAAAGAGGTGTGCCATTGGCCAATGCGAACTGCAATGCTTCCTCTTCGGCCACAGTGGAGAGACGATCTGGGAGTTAGAAGCTTATCCACAACACATAGGACGAGATAACTAACCTGTGTGTATCTGGGCTCGTTCAGCGAACAGGTCTCCGGTTGGTACAAGTGAGGGATTTGGCCAAGTTTGAGTAGGAAGATCTGGGGTAAGTGAGCAAATCGTTTGACACAGGGGACTGTAATCTTGAAAACTCGCCTGGTACAACTTTCGAAACTCCAAAGATCGCATCTGAATCATGGCGAAATACTCTTGGAGGACGCCCAGGCCTATTGGTGATTGATCTGGCAGCATTGACAATGAGATTGTTTGCCTGCTGGCTGGTGTCAGACATATGGGCAGAAAAATGGATGAGAATGTGAGTAGAGAATGTGAGTAGAGAATGTGAGTAGAGTACAAAGGTTATAGAGACTTTGATGTTAAAAAATTCATTTTGAAGTTGTTTATGTTTGGCCTACGTGCCGGGGTGTGCCGGGGTGTGCCGGGGTGTGCCGGGGTGTGCCTGATGTTTCGGGGTGTGCCTGACGGTTCGGCGAAATAGCCCGAAGCCCGAAGTGATCATATTAAATGGGAACTAGTTCACATGGAGACAAGAAGGCTGGATGACAGGCCTGAACACATGTGTGGGAGCAGGTTAAGTGCAAAAAGCAGAGAACTGAGCATGGTTTTGAAGTGGGAGTTTTGACTCAGCAGTGGTGGTATGTGGATGTGGAGTGATGGTATGTGGATGTGGAGTGATGGTATGTGGATGTGGAGTGATGGTATGTGTATGTGGAGTGATGGTATGTGGAAAGGGAGTGGGGTGAAGGAAAGGTTGAGTGGCGTGTTTTGGGAAAAACCGAAAAAAAGTGAGGGGAATAATTACAGAAGTGGCCGGATTATCCCTACACGCGGTGCAGTGAGGGGAGAGTCACGTGACCCTACGGTGGGTGAAAGCGGAGATCCCCGCTCTGTCCGTCTGCCCCACCATGCCTCCTTCCCTCCCTTACCCACCTCTCGTTCTTGGTGCACACTCTATACATATAAACATCTCTTAGGTGCTAGACACATCTTCCGAGGCATAACGGGGTATGTCATCTGTTCACCGAGTGGCTGGGCTGACTCAACGAAGGCTTTACCAAGAGGAACCAACACGATACGATACTCAACCTTGTCATCCGCTTTCTCCCATAACACGTTGACCTTTCCTCATCCAACCGTTCTTTGTACATCGATAAGGTGGAAAAGAAGAAAGAGGGAAGAGGATACATAATGTCAAACCTTGACAAGACCGTGAAACTCGCTTGTAAACCCAAAAACGCCGCTCCAAAGGCAAAAGTGAGTTCTCCACTTTCATATCAACACTCCCTACCCACCCTGCCCACCCACCTGTCTCACTTATCTCTCCCTGGTCTTCCCCCTTCATCCATCTCTTCCATCTCACTCTATGTGTCAGCGTTCGCTTCGGTATCAAGGTGAAAACAAGAGCTGACGAACAGTATGTGGAGTAAGTAAACATCTCACTGACAAAGGTCTGTGCTGATACAACAAGTGTACTTGTCGCTGCTACTTACTCCGACGATGGGTCTATTTTAGACATATGTCGTTCTTTATCATTACGGCTAAGAGAACCTAACGCTGTGGTGAGTCTTCTTTCGTCGCATTCTACTATTCATCATCGCCCATCGACCGATAACAGATGTCCACCGTGTTTCCAGAGGAGTGAGAAAGACACGTTTGTCAGCAGGTGCTGATGCGTTTTTTAGGTGGTTTTCAAAGCTTTGTTGGTTTTACATCAAATGATTCGATCCGGATCAACAGACCAATTATTGGATGTCCTGAGTCAAGGAGATATTTTGAGGTTGCGTAACGTCGGTGGACAGAATTGGGATGGTGAGTGTCTCCCTCATCTATGATCACTCTGAACCAGATTGTCGACTCAGCCCGTAATCACCATTACACGAGCCTATAGCCATTTCTACCTGCATCTCAACTCTCACCATCACACAAAGAGGAAGGGATGCAGTCAGGTTCGAGACTGTATGATTGAAGTGACCCGTAGAAGCTCTTCGTGTTGACGTACAGGATACAACCCCCCAAGTAACATGTCAAACTACGCCACATACTTAGATATACGAATAAGAGCATATAGAGAGATTAAACATGATCTAGTGCAAGTACAAACGGAATCGAATCGAAGAAGCAATGGTTTGGGCGCGGGTTGTGAGTACGAAAGCGTTTGAATCAATCAGCAATGTTGACGGTTGTAGCCAAAGCGAGGAGGTTGAGACATTTGCCGGTGGAAAAGGGATTGTTAAGGGAGGTCAAACAGGTTCAAAGGATTCTTGATTCTCTGATTTTATGTAAGGTGAGTTTCTATCTCTCAGAGCTGTAACCCAGAATCACATATCCGGAGTCCTCTCGTGACGTTGGCATTGCCATCGTCTCACTCACTTCATCTCTTTCCCCCTCGCCTCATCCCTTGAATTATTGCCATCTTGTCCACATAGAGCAATATGCTCAACCTGATAAACGACACCAAATTTGGAAGACACCCAACTTCAAGCTCTCCTCCCACTTCCACTACAAATATTCAATTCGCACGATTCCGCGTGCTGATCACAGTTCTACGATGACGATCTACGAGAAGAAAACACCGTCTTGGCATTTCGTATGTTGGTGAAAGATCTTCTGGTCTTATTTCAAGCAGGTAATGAAGGGGTGTGCAACATCCTAGGTCCGTTTCCTTCGAGCTCTAATCTCCGTACCTTCATACTCATACCATTACCCGAGACCATAAATCTCCACCTTTTCTCCAGATCGTGGAGATTGCTGGAGGAGATCTGATGACTAGAACATTACTTTGAGATGTCAAAACTCGACGCCACGGAATCTTTCCAGATTTATAAATCTTTCATCAAACAGACCGACCGCGTCGTGGACTATCTCGCTGTCGCAAGAAAATTGCATAACATCGTCAATGTTCCTGTACCTAACCTGAAGCATGCTCCGACGGGGCTGGTCAAAGCTTTAGAGGAATACCTAAACGATCCGAATTTTGAACAAAACAGACAGGAATACAGGAAAAGTCTGGGAGTCGTGGAAGGAAAGGCAAGAACTCCGAGTCCGAATCGTGAGTCATCGGTGTAATCCCATCCAACTGCCCATATTCTATGCCCTCCTTATTCTCACCAGTGACCACTTTGTTGGCGTGATGCAGCAACGTAAAGGGTGATTCCTCAGTCAACAATTCTCTCTCTCTGAGCACTTCACTCGTCAACTTCGGCAGACTGACATTCTAGCCCCTTCAGCCAAACTCACCTCTCCGCCATCACCCAAGTCCGCGCCTCCAATCGCGACTTCAGTTCCCGGTCCTTCCGCTCCCGCTGGAGCCGACCAGAAGATACAAGATTTCTTCGACTCGATTCAAACCAACAATCAACCGACTATGTTCCCTGGTCCCGCTCAGAGGTCAGTTGTTCAACCCGTACCATGTCTCCCACTGATGATGCAGTCTTGGATACTCTCAAACGGCTGCATTCAATCCTTTCAGGCAGAGCACCATGTTACCTCAACAAACCGGGTTCATCCCTCCCCAAGCTACCGGATTTGGAATGCCATCGACTCAACCTTTCATCCGACCGCAGATGACTGGGGCTTTGGCGTTTGGAAATCGACAGACCATGTTTGTTGGTGATTTTGGTCAACCTCAACCTCAACAGTTCATACCCCAACAAACGGGCTTCCAATCTCAACCACAACCATTACAGTCCCAGCAGACGGGCTTTATTCAACCTCAAACCACTGGGTCCAACCCATTCCGCCAGTCCATGTTCAGTGGTTCAATGGGATCTATCGGTCAATCTGGTCCTTTCTCCCAACCTCCCACGCCTTTTTATCCGACAGATTTCTCGCAGCCTCACGCCGGCGGAATCAGCCAGATTCAACGACCTGGATCAACACCAGCACTGGGAAGCGCGAGTCTTACGAAACCCCTACAAGCTCAAGCAACTGGATCCAAAAACCCTTTTGCCCCACCTGGCGGTGTCCCTGCGCCTCTACCGCCACCTCAACAGAAAGGTCCGAACTTGAACCAACTAGCCAGTGGTGCGTTCGGTCAACATCCACCATCTTCGTTTCAACCCGCTCTTCAATCTCATCAGACTGGTCAAACCCAAGGATCATCTCCATGGTCAACGTCTGGTCAGTCCAATGTCACCGGAGGAACAGGGAACGGTAGCGCTATGGCCGATATCGCTTCCGCTTTCACTCTCGACAACTCGAATAACAATACGGAATTCTTAGCACCTTTTGGTGGTTCTTCAACTGCTACCTCGTCAAATTCCCAATTCGCAGGAAACAACACCCCGAACTTTTTGAACTCACAATTCACGGGATCAACATCATCCAATCCTCTACATACGCAACCTACCGGATTTATACAACCTCAACAAACGGGTTACGGTGGTAGTTTCATCAAACCTTTCAAACCTACCTCAAACTTTGGTAATCAATTGGTAGAATCTTTACCCCCAATACCCGAACCTTCTCCCGTTCAATCGCCCAATCAATCTGGTCATCCGGGTCAAGTACAGGCTCAACAGACAGGATTTCCGTTTGGTGGACAAGGTCAAGGGGGAGTTCAATCACAACACACTGGTGTGGCGTTTGGTACGAATTTGGGTAATGGACAGAATCAACAAACGGGGAACCTTTTTGGAAATAATCTTAATAATGCGCAAAATCAACAAACAAGTGTCCCATTTGGAACTAATTTGAACAACGGACAGACCCAACAAACGGGTAATCTCTTTGGAGTCGGTTCGGGACAAATAGGGAGTCAGGGAATAGGAGGAGGATTCATACAACCTCAACAAACCGGTCCTAACCCTTTCAGACAATCTTTATTCTCTACCTCAACTGGACAACCTCAGGTCGGTGGTGCAGGTGGAGGTGGTGTAGGTGGACATCCGTTCGGCGCTGGATCACCTTTTGCAGGACAAAACCAACAGCCGTCGGGACAATTTGGTGGATCTTTAATATGAAAGAGTATGGAGAGCTAGAATGGTACACGATGGTAGTGCAGGAATCTCATATGAGGGATCTCGAAATTACCTTGAACATCTTCATGATATGATCTGCGATATCGAAACAGGTGTGTATGCGTGAAAAGTGAAAGGATTTGACATGATTACTAGACTGGATGAAAATATTGAGGGGAATTTTTCTTGCCCAATAGTTCATATAGTGTCAGGAGCTGAAGGAGAGAAACGGATATGATGGTTTAGGTAATAGGACATACTGTAGACGGTGTTTTGGAGAGGATCTGGAAAGATTGTAAAAACTGATGGGAAAGATTTAGCATAGGGAGGGGTATAATGAAGTTGATCTGATTTACAACGTGTTTTCAAGTGGGTTGAATCTCTTTCGACTCATTTACATCATTGACGACTGAGTTTGGTATTTCACTTCGTACTGACCACATTGTCCTATTCTTCAATCCACCTCCTAATCCACCGCCCACACTCAATCAATCTCATACTCTGAATTTGTCTCGGTCTCCAATTTTTTTCCCGGGTCCGGATCCATCTAATACTCTGAATGTATACAACTACTAGTCTGGCCTTACGTATCTAATCCTTCCAATCTATCTACTCCAACGAATCAATCTCGTGCTCTCATTCTACATATCCACTACTCTGAATATACCAACTCTTTCAAATTCATTCATCGCTCAGATTCTTTGGATCTCCTGCTCGGAATCCATCTCCTGTTCCTGGATAGATGATCTATCCCCCACACTCCGTTCATTTATCCAACTCTGAATTCACATATCTTCTACGTTGAGACTTCCTGCTATTCTGACTTTGATCACTCTTTCGGATATATCTACTTCATCAAATCCATCTCGTGCTTTGCCATTCGAATCCATTCACTCCTTCGAATCTATTTACTTCAACGAATGTATCTCATCCTCCCATTGTTTCCAGCAATCTGTATCTACCTTGCTCTACATTCATCGACCCCTTCAGATCGATACACGATTAGGAACCTACCAACTACTTTATAATCACTGATCTTGTCGAACGACGGAATTCCCGTTTCAAAATTGAGATAGAAACAAGATGAACACATTGATATTCTACTTCAACAAACTTTTAGCCCTTTACTTTGTCGTTGACTCGTTCGATCCTTTCATCCGACATCAACCCCCATCAGCCGCAACTCTTCTCGTCCCACTTCTGAATAACTCTCACATACCATCTATCATTCTCTCATCGCGTATTATCACTTCAAGACCATTCCATTCCCCCTTTCCACTCTCATTTCACGCACTAACATTCCTTCATACCCGCTCTCCTTCCCTTCTTCCATACCGCCCATTCTCCACCACCAATCTCACTCCGCTTTCACCCTTCTAGCGATCCACCCATCATTACCATTCCTTCATAACAACTATCGCTACCTCCATTCCTTCAATCTGACTATCGCTCCCTTTTCCCGCACCGCCCATTCTTCACCATACTTCTTCCCACCGCCTTTGTGTCTGACGTTCTCCCCCACGTTCCCACGTTCCCACGTTCGCACGTTCCCACGTTCTCGCCATCCTCACCTCCAACCCCACACTCTTCTACCACCTTGGTCCAAGATCCGCACCGCCTCGGATCGTGGGAAATTTCGACCTCGCGACACGCACCGCCTCGGACCGTGGGAAATTTCGACCTCGACCGTATGACCGACACCGCCTCCTCCACCATGGAGAGGGAGGAAGAAGCAAAACGTCCAAACCACCTTTTCCTTTCACGACTACTCTCAACTCCGCTAGAATCATGCTTATAAAATGACGATCAATACTTGTCCAATCCCCCCGTTCTTCTCTCACTGACGAGACTGATCTATTGACGAATCGCTAATTCATCCTTGAGATCACATCAACCAGTCTGAATTATTCGGACATTACGTTTTACTACGACTTTGACAAGACAAAGTTGAATAATTGAGGGTAGAATGAATACTGCAACCACTGCCTCTGGATCTGTGCCATCTTTTAATTTCTCTGACCCACCATGGTCGGTCAAACATGATCCTAACGATATGAAGAAAGTGTATTTTTGCACTAAAGCAACCCTTGATTATAAATTCTTACCTCAGGACTTACGTCAGTGGCCCGGGCTTACATCTTCCGGGCTTTCTTTGGAAACTCTGAGAACAATGAGCCAGGATAAATATGCTACTCTCCGCAAAGCATACAGAACAACAACCAAACATGTGTTAGAAATACTTGTGGGAGCTCGCCTGAAACACAGTGCAAATACACTGTCAAAGGATGTAATGAAAATGATTGAGAACAAAGTCCGTATCATACAAGCCGAAATACTTAAAATCGGAACCATCATTGAGCAACGTCTCTCTGTCCTGAACTCTGGAGCCCTGAAAGAAGAGTCCGAAAATCTCTCGCTCAAAGGAGATATGAGTAAATTCGAGAGGTCCGAGGTGCCATCTGATCAACTTACATTCAGGAGAATTTCTCAGGCAAAGGAGGCAGATCTTCAAGCTCTTCGTGAGTCGAACCGGCTTGTTTCAAGTCAATGTGTGTAACTGTATAAGATTGCATTCCAAACCTGGGGACTGATAACATGGCAATACAAAGTTAGTAGTTGTGCTGACCATACAGAACTCTATTTGGCATCACTGCAGACATCATCAGTTCCTGAGACAACATACATTCCTTTTGACTCCAGTGACAAATATTGGGACACTCCAACAACACCACCCACCAAGAGTGGTTCCGCAAGTGGCAGAAAGAAAAAACCCCGCAAAAAAGGTGTGAAGGCCAAGGCATCCAGGGAAACACATGCATCAGATGAAGACACTGCAACTGCTCAGTCAGCTGCTGAGGCACCACTCACAAGTACTTCTGTTGGACTGGGGTTTCAACCTATAACTGTGGCACAAAGCATTGATGACAATCCCAATGGGTTTCAAGTAGTCAGCAAAAGTGGCAAACATAGGAAATCAAGGCCTGGAATAACTGAAAATAAGCTGCCCATCCTTGGGAGTGAAGAACCAGCACTTGGACATATCCATGAAACCCCTTACAGCCTCGGTCCATCACATAACGAACCCAAGTGCAAGATCACACAGTCTACCACACAGTCTATCACACAGTCTACCACTACCGTGCCAGCAACCACCTTGGCTCATACATTCTCTCCAAATGACAGGGACACTGTCATGCGCGGGGAAGATGCAAAAGCCGCATCAACCTCATTGCTGTTCTCCCAAGTGAGTGGACATCCCAAGTGTACAAGTGGAGACTCACATGATGAAAGTCCTCTTTCACTTGAAATGGAAGATCCAAGTGCTAAAGAAGAAGACAATGTGACACTCCAAAGACCTGGAACGGCTCCCTCCTCGTTGTATCGCATAAAGGGAAGAAGCTCCGAGACTGACCTACCAACCTCACGAAGGGTGGAAGAGTACTCATATAAAGCAGGTACTCCACCTGAGGATAGGGTGACTCGTAGATGGAGCCATTGTGGAGTAATCGATCGGATTGTCAAGGACCAGATCGAAGGTCAAAGCGTCTGCGTCGAGGGTGATGAGACTACTTGTAGGGACTTGAACTAGTTGCGAGATGATACAAGGTCAAAGCAAGTAGTTTGAGGAGTGAACAATAAGTTTTGGCAAATGTATATGAGAACTTGCATGTTGAGACAGACAAGATACATTTGCCAAAGTTGTTCTAAGCTATGCACTACCTTATGTACATGGAATGAGAGTGTAATGTAGATAAGGGTGGCTGGTAGTGTTTATCGGTGGCAGGTAGCGGAGGTGACTGGATATTACCCAAACCCGCAACTTTGATGCACGTGGTCATGATAGTATCTCCCCTTCAAAAAATCATCGTCCACAATGATCACATCTAACCCTTTCTTCCTTGAACCCTTAAATCCGAGCTCATCAAAACCATTCCATCAATGCCCACGATCCCTTCAAAATCATCCATCAATTCCCGTGTTGACTGTCTTTTCTACGTTTCTGCGTTTACCTACGGCCTACTATGACATCCTATGGAATGCGCGGGAAATCGGTGACTTTGTTGAAGGTGGTCAATGAGGAACGATGCAGAACATAGAAGAGCTGCAAGAACAAGAGACTGAGAGGTTATGCCTTACAAGGCATCAGAACAGAGGAAAGAGGGACTAGATAAGTCCTTGGGACTTCTGCCTGATAGGCTTGAGAGCAGAGGAAGATAGACTAGAGTACACTTGGGATTTATGCCTGATAGGCTTGAGAGCAGAGGTAAAAGATTAAAGATAAGAAAGTGGAGGTCAGAGTTGTGACCATGACACTGAGTATCTCAGACTGTCATAGGTTCTCCCCATTCTAAAATAGCTTTCACCTTTTCTTGATCCATTTCAATTTGTTTGTGTCTGATCACGTACCCCAAGAGTTTTACCTCACTACTGTAGACCTCCATTTGCACTTCCTTGGACTGACAACCGAATTGTTTTCAGAGAGACTGTCTAGTACTGGACAATTACCTGATGGTTCTCAATCGTATCTGAATATACTGTGATGTCGTCTATGTAGACTACTACTCCTTCATCCAAGAGGTCATGAAACATATCTTGCAGGAAGTTCTGGATTGTGGCTGGTGCGTTGTGTTGATGATCGCTAGAGTGGTAGTAACTGGTAGTTCTTAGCTCTGCATAAAGCGATGCATGACTATAGTCACTTACCTGGTAGTTCTTAGCTCTGTATAAAGCGATAAAGAACTACCAGGAGGTGGAAACTTTGGTAGGAGATGTGGGACGTTACGTAAAACAACCACATGTCTTTCAACACTCCCCCTCGTCCCGTATCTCCTGTATCTTTGGATTCTGCAGACCCAGACCTTGAGAGAGGTAGTGGTGACGTTCTGATGGAAGTGACTTTGTGAGTATATCAGAGAGATTCTCTTCAGTTGACACATATGACAGGACAATGTCTCCATTTTCTACCTTTTCTCGGATGAAATGGTAGTGTATGTCGATGTGTTTTGACCTGTTGTGCTGAACAGGGTTTCTTGACAAAAGGATACCTGCTTGGTTATCAGAGGGGATTGAGATACCTTTTGTGTGGTAGTAGCCAAAGTTACGTGCGAGTTCTTTGAGCCACAAAGCTTGTTGTGCTGCCTCTGAGGTTGCCATGTACTCAGCCTCTGCAGTAGATAAAGCGGTAGTTGATTGTCGTCTTGATTGCCAAGCAATTGGTCCGCCAAAAGCATAGAAGAGGAACCCAGTGGTAGATCAACGAGTATTCAAACATCCACCCCGATCGGAATCTGAATACCCATGTATCAATGGCTTGGCTTGTGGTAGTGAAGCATCATATGAAAGGCAGAGTTTGACTATGTTAGGTGACGGACAGAAGACGTGACGCTTCGAAGCAGCACGGGGGTACCCGTGACAGACGGAAGACATGACACATGGAAGAAACTTCCCTCCTCCAACACATTTTTTCTGACACCACGAGTACCCATTCTATCAGATTATACCGCTCAAATACTGCCCCTCTTGACCTTCAAACTGGGTCAGATCCTGACATTACTCCCAGTGTGAGATGGACAAAAGTGAAGCTTTATGGGGCTATAGAGGAATGCATGCATGCTTATTTTTGAGCCCAAGTGGATGAAGCTCTTCTAGCAGCTCTCCTCATATCCTGGACACAGTTTGGTATCATAGAAGTTGATGGGGATCAATGGAGATGATTTCTCCTCACGGTCATGGACAGGAAAGTGTGACGCTTTGAAGTGTCATGATCTTTACCCATGACACTTTGTAGTTGCACGGATCTTCGATCCGTCACGCTAAGCCCCGTGACACTTCGAGGCGTCACGTCTTCCGTCCGTCACCTAACAACTATACCACGTAGATATTGCATGAGGTGACGAGCGGCAGACATGTGTTGTGCTGACCATTTACTGGTAGTCCAAGAGAGAACATGTCACGCGGCACCACGTGACATCATCTTTCCCCATCAACGAGGTTCCTTTGGACATCAGTTCGCCATCAACGATCCAGTTCTCATGAACTTCATCACTCACGAGGGTATTAGGAAGCTAACTTCGTCGAGGGCGAAGTTAGTCATGCAGGAAGTTAGGGAGATACAAAGTTAGGGAGATACGAAGTTAGGAAGATACAAAGTTAGGGAGATATGAAGTTAGGGAGCTACGAACTTTGTCGGGGACGAAGTTTGCGAGGTACGAAGCTCGGGACTTTGGGTTGAACGAAGTTCTGCGTTGAAGAAGTTAGGGAAGGACGAAGTACTTAAGGGCCGAAGTTCCCAGAGATCTTTGACGATCTCTGGTTGTTGTCTTAGTGATAGAAGTTAGTAAAGTACGAAGTTATTACACCCAGAAGTTATTGTCACCTATTTCATATTTCAAACAACGAGGTAGTTAAAGGTCGAAGCCCACGAAGTTATTGGCCGTCGGTCCTAGCAAGTTAACGAAGAAACAACCCTGTGACAGAACAGATGTAGCAAAGGCAATATCTGGGCAAGTAATGGTAGCTGCATAGAGCAGAGAACCGACCATGGCAGGATATGGTTTGTTGCGGACAAAGTCACACTCAGTATCGGTAGCTAGAGTAGCTCGGTAACCAGAAGGGAGAGGAGTTTGCACGGGCTTGCAGTCATCCATTCCAAAGCGCTCCAAAATTGCCTTGAGGTAGTGCTCTTGTGAGAGAAATAGCTTCGTTTTGGATTTGTCTCGGTAGACATTGACACCTAGGAAATATGATACCGGTCCGTTGTCTTTGATTTCACATGGTGCATGTAGTTGAGACTTGAAATTGTTGAGATGCAATTGAGAATTACTTGCTATGAGTTGATCATCCACATGGAGCACAATGAGGAGAGTATTACTACCGGTGGTACAAGTATATATGCAGTTGTCGGCGGTAGCTGGAATAAAACCTTGTTGGCGTAACCAGTGGTCAAGTTTCTTGTTGAAACATTGAGGAGATTGCTTGAGACCGTACAAGGATTTGAGTAGGAGAATCACTTTCCCGGTTGGGATATCACTACCTTCTGGTGGTTCAAGGTAGATGGTCTCTTCTAGATCACCATTGAGGAAAGCAGCCACAATGCCAACTGCATCACACAATAGACCATGGTAGTTGGCAATTGCAAAGAATAGTCAAATCGAATCCTTGTGGGCAACTCCAGCATAGAGTTCATGGTAGTCAACACCAGATTGTTGAGAATATCCCTTAGCAACCCATCGTGCTTTGAAGCCTGCTGGTTGTCCAGTAGTGCCATCGATCTTTCTGATGAACACCCATCTAGCTCTGAGTATTCAACTACCAGCTTCCTTGTGGTCTACCACCGTCCACACTTTATACTTCTCCATCTTTTTTTGTTCATCTTCAATTGCCTATTTCCAGCTGTCCCACTGGGGTGAACAGCATGCTTCCAAGAAGGATTGTGAGGCAAGAATTGCAGAGTATGCGGAACAAGTGAGGGAAGAAAGATCGGTAGTTGCACTTAAGACAAGATTGTCTTCCAGACTTCGAGGGACATCTTCAGTTGCTTGCCCAGCTTGGCGACGAGACCAGCGTAGTTGTGTATTCACTGTGAGTTCAGGACCTTCTGGTAGTTGATTAGGAGTGGGAGCTCGAGAGCGGTGAAACCTTTGGTCTTCCTCCAGTGTCCATCCACGCCATTGTGGTAACTGAGGAGAAGGACTCCCCCTATCCTGTGGGGGAATTGCTGAGTTGGAGTTCCCCGTATCTTCTGTTGGGAGTGATGAGTTATCGAGTGGTGTAGTATTGTCATCCGAGGTAACTTCACTCGGCAGATAGTATTTGGAGCAATCTTTCTTGGACGTTGGTATGGTGGTATCTAGACTACCAGTGAATGTAACATCATGAGAGATGATCAAGCTCTTTTTGGTGGTATCCCAGATGCGGTAGTTGGTAGAGTTTGGTTCATATCCTAACAATCGATCGGGGAGATATTGTGGTTTTAGCTTGTTGGTCTCGGTATGAGCCCGATAAAACAGATTACAGCCAAAGGGCTGCATGTGCGTGTAGGGCACTTGTGTGCCTTGCCATATATCTTCTGGGATGGTACCATTTGCCTGTGGAGCTCGGTTTCTGATGTAAACGGCATATCTTGCTGCTTCAGACCAAAAAGTATCTGGTAGTCCACTGTCAATGAGGAGACTGCGTACCAAATCCAGGATTGACAGGTGAGTGCGCTCCACCCGGCTGTTCTGAGCATGTGAAGCGGGGGGGATAAGATGGTGTTCCATCCCTCTGGAGCTGGTATACTGCTTGAAAGCGGAAGAAACAAATTCACCACCACGGTCACTTCGAATAATTTTCACTTTGGTACCCAATTGTTTCATCACAAGCGTTGTGTATTGCTGAACGGTAATTAGGGTGTCCGCCTTTGACTTCAGAAAGAGGATTTGCAGGTGTTGTGAGTAGTCATCATAGATGGTGAGAAATGTTTGGTAGCCATCATGTGATGTAGTTTGTGTTGGTCCAAAAAGATCAAGGTGAAGTGCCCCAAGAAGTGTAGAAGCTCGCTGTGAGGATTGGGGAAACGGTAGGCGCTTGCCCTTTCCTTGAATGCAAGCAGGGCATATGAATCCATCTCCATTTACTTTTGCCCATCTAGCAGTATCTCCAAGGCGTCTCTCCTGACCTAACTTCACTACCGCTCCAATATGCAAGTGTCCCAATCTTTTATGCCAAGTTTGAAGCAGATTCTCTGACATATCAGGACTGGTGGTATGAGCTTGAATGGTAGAAGATGTACAAGAGAGAGTGTAGAGGTTATTGTGAAGTTTTGCTGTCAAGATAGTACGTTCACCATCTTGGAGAATAGCTGAGGTGGAGTTGAATATCCATGAAGTGGTTGAGGAAGTGGTAGACCGTACAGATAGGAGGTGTCGACCGAGGTTTGGTACCAGGAGAGTATTCTGAATTCAAAACCATTGTCCAGAGTAAGTGTTCCAGTCTTGATTGCTTGAATGGTAGTGCCATTACCGATCACAACTGGGACAGGCGAGGGAAGAGTTTGTAGATTAGATAGCAGTTGAGGATCAAATACCATGGAATGTGAGGCACCAGAACCGACAACAATGGATGAAAGCTGGCCGGAAGCAACAAGTGCAGAGGGAGATACCGTTGCAATGAAATTTAGACTGGAAGATGTGGAAGTGGTAGCTTGGTCGGTAGTTGCCATATGGGCAGCAGTGACTCGTTGTGCTGCTCGATAGTCGATAGTTGAGTGCAAGTTTGAAGGATGGAATTCACAGTATGGTTTACTACCATCCTTGATAATTGATGTTTTGACTTTTCCTTTATGGCTTCTTCCGTCCTTTTCCCACAAATTCTCCCCATTCCTCATCCTTGATACCTTGGTTTGCAGTGCAGGTATTCCACTCTCTTGTGTCTGCCGTCGCCGAGATTCGTCGTTGACAGCTGGGATGACATCAGCCAATGAAGGATCACCTAGCATATAGAAAGTAGATGCTAGGGTGGCGTACAAAGCAGGAAGTGCAATGAGAATGGCGTATAAGAGCTGAGAATCCGCCATAACTACAGAAGAGGCAGTGAGGTCATTTACAGCACGCCACATGAGAGACATAGATGTCATTGGGTCGGTTTTGTTGATGTCGGTACGCCAGATGATTCGGTAGAGCTCAGCCTTTCTAGTGGCCCTAGCAGCAGATTAAGTAGCTCGCAGGTAGTCTAGATGTGATTTCGCAAGGAGACCGGTAGGAGATGTGGTATGGATGTCGAGTAGATGAGGGGGTTGTACATTGTGAACAGCTGATCCAAGAGACTCATCATTGGCCGCCCATGCCTTCCTATCCTTCCTCATCCAAGCTTTTTGATCGGCTGCTGGACCCGATGGTAAAACTGCATCTACCTCCACTACCTCATCTAAATCCTTCTGTATTAGGCATGATAGGATTGAGCGCTCCCATTCCTTGTAGTTGTCAGAACTGGTGAGGGTGACACGCCTGCGGGTGGTAGGTTGATCTTCTTCGGAGTTTGAGGGGGACATATCGAATAGATGGTTAGGTAGTCTGATCCCAAATCTGTTGATGATTGCTAGAGCGGTAGTAACTGGTAGTTCTTAGCTCTGTATAAAGCGATGCATGACTACAGTCACTTACCCGGTAGTTCTCAGCTCTGTATAAAGCAATAAAGAACTACCAGGAGGTGAAAACTTTGGTAGGAGATGTGGGACGTTACGTAAAACGACCATGTGTCCTTAAACACGTTGCACAACCCGTCTCTTAGGACTGTACTTTCAAAACTGCCGTATTGTGTTTGTAGAGCAGCTTTATGTTGATCTCCTTCCTTTATTCTGCCTAGTTGGTAGGCTCCTTTCATATCGAGTTTGGTGAATATCCTTCCCAGTTGAAGTCAATTGAGTAGTGTCAAGATGAGTGGCATTGGATATGAATCCTTGACGGTTAACTTGTTGAGTGCCCGGTAATCTGTTACTACTCGATAGGGAATGACTCCCTTTTTGGGGACCAAGAGTACTGGAGATCCATAAGGCAATTTACTTCTTTGTAGATGACCACTAGCCAATCTGTCATTGATCCACTGCTTTAGGAATGCATCCCCATGCTCGTCCAGTTGCTATATTGGGCCCGGTTGTCACGCCTGCGGGTAGACTGCGGTAGCAAAGGACTGCCTTGAGTACTGAAGGGGTTAGTATCTGGCTCGCCTTGCCTTAGATACTGAGGGGACTGAGAGTGTTGGGTTAAAACCAACTGAGTGACGAATTTCCTGTCTAACCGTAAAAGTCAGTAATATTAGAACAAGAGGAAAAGAGATCCATTGATGGGGAAACTACAAAATATGGCCGGCTTATATAGACATCAGCACGAATGATTTCCCAATGAGATTTCCAACGACATCTTCAAATCCTTACGTTTCTGCTCGGTGAAGTCTACACTTTTATTAGGTGAGATTCACGCCTAAGTATGATGTCACTGAGATCTACGGTGAACAATTCCGAAGCATGATGTCACCATGACATCATCTACTAAGCCTGTCTTCTAATCCATGACACCGGTTTCATTTCTGCCCCTGGTGTTAATTCAATCTCATGATCACATTCCCTTCTTGATGGTAGTGTCCTTGCTCTCTCCACCTTGAACAATTCTAGGTACTGGTGCTATTGTGTCGGTGTGACTTGTTGTAGTTCTTCCTCGCTCAATTCATCTTCCCCTTTTTCTAGTGCTGTTCCTCTTACCAAGCCTTCCTCCACTCTTGGATACTTCCACCCATTATCTCGTCCTACTCTGTCAAATTTGATCAGTCCTTTTCCACAATCGATACTTCCTCTAAACTGTTTCAGGAATCCAATCCTACCAGTACTTTGGGACCTTTGTAGGCCATCACATCAAATCAAGTTGCTATCTTGAGCCCTTTTCCCAAATCCAGTTTGGCTTCCACATATTTGGTTACTAAGGTGGCGGTAGTTCCATCAAGGAACCTGATTTTTCGCGGTTCATGATATTGTTTCTTGGGGAATAGGTGGTATAATGGACAGGCCGGCTGCACATGTCTCCCAGTAGCCCCGGTATCAATTAACATTCCAATCTGTAGGGTATCTTCCTTTGTCTGTATCTTTATGTATATTATGGCCGAGTCCTTGCTGAGATCAATTGGTAGCTGATCACTATGTGATTCCTTTAGCTCCTGGCCGCAAGTCGTCCCATCACTCAGGCCAGGTAGTTGTTTCCCTCTTCTTCAAAACTTGCCGCCATTCCTTGAACCAATGGCCCTTTTGATCCAGTTGGAATCAACTTCAATCCGCTAGGGATTGGTGAACCATGGGGGTTTGGGGACCCTCTAATATTGTTCCTTGTGTTTCCGCCGTTTGGACAATTGTTGGCATAATGCTCTGGGCTTCTACATTTGAGACATCGTCAGATTTCCCTTGTCCAGTTCATTTCATTCTCACTGAGTTGTCTTCCATCCTCTGTCCAAGTAACCGGGGGATCATTTGGTAAGCTAAAGTTCATCATTCCTGGTTTTCCACCCAGCAATGGCTCTCTACCCGTTGGATGTGAGATCCGTTCGGTAGAGTTTGGCGGGCCGGCATCTAGTCGTATTGAACTCCATTGTGTTGGGAACCAGGTCGTCTCATTGTTGCGCCTAGCAGCCCATTGGTTTGCTGCAATCATCATTTCAGCCATCCGCTGAGATTCTCCTTGGTCCCTATCACATGTTGTTTGAAGTAGATCCAATCCGTTTTGGTTTGAGGATTGGTGTTATTTACCACTACCACCTCCAGTAGTTCTTCTTTCAGGCCCTGTACAGTAGGGTCCAGGAATTCATGGAACGCCACTTTCATAGTGATTTTGTGAAATTCCACGTCAGACTGATAACATACGTTCCGTCTCTCCCTATACCTCCTAGATATACCTCCTGGTTACTCTTTATCGCTTTATCATAGCTAAGAGTATCCAGGTGAGTTCTTAACCATGTATCGCTTTATCATAGCTAAGAGTATCCAGCTACCGAGCGATCATCATTGACAGATTTGGAATCAGACTATCTGACCAACCGCTTCAATTCACTTCCATCCCTCATCCTTCCAGTCGAACATCTTCCTTTGGTCAGCCCTCATCATGTCGCTCTCAGATTCTGAAGAAGAGAAGATGATCTCTCGCCGTCGAGTTGTCCTCAAAGGAGCGGACAACTTCAAGGAATGGGAACGATCAATTGTGACCCGTTTGATACAAAAGGATCTTGACGATGTTATACAGTCCGATGCACAGGTACCCACTACTGCGGTGGAGAGACAAACATGGGGGAAGAAAGATAGGAAGGCATGGGCAGCCATTGATGAATCTATCGACTCGTCAATCCACAATGTACTCCCTCCAGATCTCCTCGATATCTCAACCTCCACAACCGCCTCACCGCTTGGACTCAAAGCAAAGTCTCTCTATGATCATCTTCGACTCAACTACTCTGCGGCACGGTCAACTCGCAAAGCAGAATTATATCGAATCATCTGGCGGACTGATATTGAAGAAAGTAATCCAATCACCTCCATCTCTGCAATGCGACGTGCCTTCAATGATCTCACTGCGTCCTCTGTCTCCATGGCAGATTCCCAGCTCGCATATGCAATCCTGATTGCTCTTCCTCCTACCTATTCGGTACTAGCTTCCACATTCTACATGCTTGGAGATCCTTCATCCGCAGAGGTCATCTCGGCAATCAATGATGAATTCAGAAGGAGGCAGACACAGGAAGCAAATACCTTGGCTCTGACCGCTAAAGTACCGAGACAACTATCTCAAGGGAAGGTTCATGGTCTACGACAGAAAGGTATGAAGGGATCTGTTGTCAAGGATGGAAGCAAGCCATATTGCGAGATCCACGATACCAATTCCCATTCCACCACCGACTGTCGAGTTGCCCAACGGATCTCTGCCCACATCACATCATTCAAGCCCATTGACCAGTCCGAACCATTCTCATTTGTCGCAGTCGCCTCTCCCATAGCGCTCCAAGCACTTACCGACCAACCCTCCATTGTCGTTGACTCCGGAGCCTCACATTCCATGGTCCACAACGAGCTTCTCCTCTCCTCCATTCACACGCTACCTTCGCCGGTACCGGTCATTGTGGGCAGTGGCTCTTCGGTGTATGCCACCAAGCAGGGTACTCTCACCCTTGGAGACGGGTTCAAGATTCCCAACACACTACTTGTTCCAAAGATTCGTCAAAACCTGCTATCGGTTCGTGCAACAACATCCTCGACAATGATCTGGACGTTTACCGGCAGCACAGCCACATTGACCAATCAAGGCAGAGTCATCCTGATAGCAAAAGTGCACGACAACCTCTATACGCTTCCTTGTACGCCAATCCTCTCTACCCACATTACAGTGACTGATCAGTCACAGGAACTACTCAAAGAATGGCATCATCGTCTTGGACACCTGGGTGCCAAAGCAGTTGTTACCTTGGGTAGGAGCAGCCGCCTGGGAAATATTCATAGATGGAAGAATGTCGACAGCCGTCAGTTCTCATGCTCTGCATGCATCCAGGGTAAAGGAAAGACACTCCCCTGTCCACCTTCCACTATTCGAGCCAATGATCTACTCGGCTCTCTGCATCTTGACCTATTTGGTCCAACTCGGTCCACCTCACATGATGGCTTCCGATCATTTCTGACAATCTACGACGACTTCTCCCAGCATCTTCAGATCATCTTCCTTCGGTCCAAAGATGGTACATTGGCTGCAATCCGCCACTATGTCGATCTTGTTGAGAATCAGCTGGGCAAACGAGTGAAGGCTTTCCGCACAGACCAGGGTGGGGAGTTCAAGTCAACCACTTTCCAAGCCTACACACAAGCAAAGGGCATCAATCACCAGTTTGTCCCAGCAGCTGCGCATGCAAAGAACGGACGAGTAGAACGGGCTCACCTATTGATACTTGACCTAGTCAGGACTTTACTAGTTGATAGTGGTCTGGAAGGATCATTCTGGTCAGAGGCTGCTAGATACGCAGTCTATATTCGAAACCGTGCTCCAAGATCAGATTCAACAATACCAGAAGACGTTTGGACATCCGGTCAAGTGGCGTACAGTCATCTTCAACCATTTGGAACCCCTCTCTTCTACCGAGCCCATTCAGAGACTAATAAGCTTAAACCACGGTATCTTCCCGGTCTACTCATGGGTTATGAACTCAATACAACAAACTATCGTGTGTGGGACCGTATGAAGCGTACCCTAGTCATAACTCGAGATGTAACATTCCCAAAATCATTACACATTGAACCACTATCATTTGCAACACCATCTCCACTCACCACTCATCCCACAACAAGTTATATCCCTACAGCCATAGGTGTCGACTCATGCCCCATTGAACAGGCAAGCGGAGTTAATGAAGTACCCATGGCGGATGCGGTCGATACTCAGTCCCACAACATGAGGGACAGTGGGAGCCAGCCTAAACAGAACTGGCTAGGATGGGCAGTAGAAGAGGATCCACGATTCAATCGCTCCCCAGCACCTTCTCCTCCTCCAGCACCTTCGCCAGAAGAGACAGAACACACTGGACCTCGGCGATCTCGTAGACAAGCTGGCAATGACCCGGAATATGTTCCTCGCAGTCTTGAAGAACATCTTGCCTTGCCCGCCTGTGCAAGCATAGATCTTGACACAATAACAATATCTGCGTTTTCCTCCATCCTAGCACCTCAATCCTATCGTCAAGCGCAACAAGCATCTGACTGGAACCAGTGGAAGGAAGCAATGGATGATGAACTGTCGAAGATGGAGAAGTATGGTGTATGGGAGGAGGTTGATCGGTCACAAGTGCAAGGTGGCATACTGAAGGCACGATGGGTGTACACACGCAAGGTGGATGGCAACACAGGTCAACCTGCTGGATACAAAGCTCGATGGGTTGCAAAGGGCTACGCTCAGCAAGCAGGAGTTGACTATAATGAGTTATACGCTGGAGTGGCACATAAAGATTCAATTCGCTTGTTTCTTGCCGTGGTCAACTACCTGGATCTTGAATGTGACTCAGTCGACATTGTAGCCGCTTTCCTTAATGGAGACCTTGAAGAAATCATACATCTTGAACCACCAGAAGGCAGTGATGTTGGTCCAGGGAAAGTTATTCGATTACGGAAGTCACTGTATGGACTCAAGCAATCACCCCGCTGTTTCAATCAGAAGTTGGACAAGTGGTTACACTCTCAGGGCTTTGTTTCCTCGTCTGCCGACAACTGCATCTACGTTAGGCAGAGATCGGACTCACTCCTCATGATTTCCCTCCATGTAGATGATCAACTCATTGCTGGCTCATCTGCCACAGAGGTGAAGATGTTCAAAAACAATCTGAACACTGCATTCGAAATAAAAGACAACGGACCTGTATCTTACTTCCTAGGGATGAATATCTACCGAGATAGGAGGGTCAAGAAACTACTTCTATCCCAGGAACATTATATCAATGCGCTCCTAGAACGTTTTGGAATGTCCAACTGTAATCCCACTCAGACACCTTTACCCTCAAGCTATCGAGCTGTTGAAGCAACCAACACTGAATTCGAGGAAGCAAATAGCGAGCCCTATCCAGCTATGGTTGGATCCCTTCTATATGCCGCTACTATTTCTCGACCCGACATTGCATTTGCGACAGCGGTATTAGCACGGACAACCAGCAAATGGAATCACCAGCACGTTGCTGCTGCTCGACACCTCATGCGATACCTCCGGGGTACCACTACACATTGTCTCACCTACAGTGGGATTGGTGCAGCTCCATCCATTCATGGCTATGCAGATGCGGATTGGGGAGGTTGTTTGAACACTAGACGATCAACAACTGGATATGTCTTCTCTGGTTTTGGTGGGCCGATTGCCTGGAAGTCCCGAAGACAAGCAACAACTGCTCTTTCCACGGCGGAAGCGGAATTCATGGCTTCCTCTGATGCGGCACGACAAGCCATTTGGCTGAGGCAGCTTGCAAAAGATTTTGGATATGGTCACCCTGCCGGAATTGCAATATTCAATGACAACCGGGCAGCTATCCTGCTTTCAAAGAACCCGGTGCTACATGATCGATCCAAACACATCGATATTCGCTGTCACTTCATCAGGGAGAAAGTGGAGAATGGAGACGTCACACTTTCACACATTTCAACCGAGATGAACCTTGCCGATCTTCTGACAAAGACATTGTCATCTGAACGCCATCAAAAGCTGGTCAATCTGATAGGGGTGAGGTCTAAGGAGATACAAGAACGAGGGGGAGTGTGAAATTCCACGTCAGACTGATAACATACGTTCCGTCTCTCCCTATACCTCCTAGATATACCTCCTGGTTACTCTTTATCGCTTTATCATAGCTAAGAGTATCCAGGTGAGTTCTTAACCATGTATCGCTTTATCATAGCTAAGAGTATCCAGCTACCGAGCGATCATCATTGACAGATTTGGCTGTGAATTTTCCATGCCCAACTTTTGAACTGTATATTAATCTTCCATTGCATGTAACAGGTATGTTGCTTTAACATAAATTGTTTGTTTATCCATGAAATAGATGCTGCCCAATTTCCACCCCACTGTATGACTGGAAAGTGTCGGATATAGTGTTGAAAAAGGAGAGGGGAATTCCACCTTTTGTATGGGGGAACACAAATTTGGCCAAAAACGACAGGTTTTCTATGCCATCCTGCATCCCACTTTCTTAGTACTCTACATGAGGTAAGGGCTGTTTTTGATAGCCAGAAGTCAAATCTATATGGTCTGGGAGTTTGAAGTGCATGCATGACCTGTGGATATTGTGGTAGGAGCTCAAAGTAGAGGCTTGAAATTCCCCAGCCAAATTACTATGAAAGTGGCGTTCCATGAATTCCCAGACCCTATTGTATGGCTGATGCAATTTTCATTGCATCTGGTACCTTCCCAAGATGAGTTGACCACAGTTCAAAGTTTGCAAAGTATTCAGCTGCTGTGTCGGTCTGTCGTAACTCCGGCAATTTTTGCATAGCAGTGCCTGCCATGTTACTGTCTCCAAATTGAGTTCGTAAATGTTGAATGAATTTGTCATAGCTCTCTAACCATTTGGTCAAATTCCATATGCTTTGATTGGTTATGGCCGGGGTCAGAAGCATTTGAGGGGTGCCTCAAAGGTACCCGTACATGAACAGGATCTTTCTGTGATCTGTAGCATACTTGGCCCCTTTGGATTTGAAGTTCATGTGGCAGGCCGCCAGGAAATTGTCAAGTTTGCCATGTTCCCCACTAAAGGTCGGTGGGTCTGCACACTTTGTCCTTCCCAATCGTTTGTTGTTGGGCAATCTTTGATCCAAAGACGGTTTGTTTTCTTTGAGTTTGATCGAAGTTGCTTTCTTTGGTATGAGTACCTGGTTCTGACGGTCAGCTTTTATTGTAGCCAATTCTTCCTTTTGTGCATTCTGTTCTTTCTGTGCATAGTCATAATAGCTAACAATTGTGACAACTGTCGGGCTAATTCATTCAGTGGGTCTGGGACTGGAGTGATAGGAGTGAGATAATGTGAAATGGTACTTCTCAAAGAACTTGGTGGTATTTCTATTTCTGAGCCCAGCCCTCCTTCCAAACACTCCTCTCCAGGTATCATTTTCTGCACTTTTCCTCTGGTAAGCATACAATCCTTTTCCACTTCAACCCAAGGGGTGTAAGGCTGATTCTTCAACTTGTAACGGTACTGGAAACACGATGACTAAGTCGCAGGTTGGGTGGAACTCGATGGAACTCTCGTAGAAGTCTATGTATCTCTGGTGCTAATTGGTGGATCATGTCTCCTCTGCAATCGATGTAGCCAAAGAATGATATTGAAGAATCAGCAAAGTTGGTACTTTGCTGATTGTACTATATACTGTCTACAGGTACCCGTGTCTTACTCCCCGTCCTACTGCAAGTGTCTATGTACATACTCGGACAGGTGAAAACCCGCTTTTGAGCAAACCCAGTGGGGAAATCTCAAAAAGTGGAAAACCCGTCACTACCTAACGCAGCACTGCCTCCAACTCCTGCTTTCCTCCATCCTAATCTGTCAAACTTGATGGAGTTCTCTTGATTCGTTGTTACCCCGCAACACAAATATACCTACGTTGAACCTTTGAAGCAGAAATCAGAGACATTCAAGGCTATCAAGAATTACTCGAGCTTGGTAGAAAATCAACTTGACCAAACTATCAAGACTCTCCAATGTGACAGAGGATGAGAGTTGTCAGCTTCGAGCTACGACAATGGTGCAAGATGAAGGGTATAGAGCAAGGCTTCACTCCCCCGGATGCTCACAATCAGAATAGCTGAGTAGAGCGTATCCATCTCACCCTTCTGAATGATATTCGAACATTCCTTGTGGATTCTCAGCTTGGCCAGAATTCTGGGTCGATGCACTGCTCCATGCAACATACGCACAAAATTGTCTTCCTGATCCCACAGGTGGTGTCCCCCTCCATTGATTCCAACCTGATGCACAACATCAAACCAATTACCACCGTTTTCAGCCCTTTGGACAATCTTGTTACCACCGAGTTGTGAAACCTCAATTGAAGTTGGCAGCAAGAGGTCAGCCAAGCCGGATTATTGGGTACGTTACAGGGACAACAGCCTATACCATTCACATCAAAGATCAAAAGGTGATTGTCTCTTGAGATGTAACAGTAGTTGATGACTCTACAATCGGGAGACATTATCTTTCCTTGGCTATCAGTAAGATAACCAACACCAATACCAAGGAAGACAGTGCTCTTGACCCTCCATATGAAGTTGCATCTAAGGACTCCCAAGAAGACAATGAAGATGTGACGGAAAGCGAGAGGAGTCAGGAAGATGTTGGAGCTAGTGAACCACTTGGACCACCAATCGAAGGTCGATGGTGGAGATATGATCCAGATTGTGAAGGAGCACCTGGTCCTGAATCCAATGTTAACAACACACCTATCACGCCAATGTCTGGCCCAAGCATCAATACTTTACGAAGATCAAGCCGTCTTGCTGGACTGAATCCTGCTGAACAGCCTCCAAATCCACTCAACGATAATTCAACTGACCTTGCTCTGGAATCGCGATGTCTGCACAGATCTTGAATAATCCTTCATCATATCAGTCTGCTTGAGAATCTGCACATTGGCCTCAGTGGGAAGCAGCCATGACAGAAGAGATGGACAAAATGGATCGATACAATGTGTGGGAAATGGTCCCAAAGAACGGGCAAAGTACACTCTCTGGTAAATGGGTCTACACCCGTAAATTAGATCGGGAGACAGGACAGCCAAATGAGTACAAGGCTCAATTTGTGGTCAGGGGATTCCAGCAGCTATTTGGGAGGGACTATGATGAGCTATTTGCTTCAGTGACCCGTAAAGCATCCCTTCGACTCTTCCTCTCAATCGTCAATTATCTTGACTGGGAATGCAATCAGATGGATGTGATAGGGGCCTTTCTAAAGAGTCAACCAATAAAGACATATATGTTATACTCACTGGAAACTCCCTGTAGCGTGTCCGTGCGCCAACCGATACACCAATAATCCCAGCTGATATCCAGCAGGAGCCTGCTGCTTCCTCCCAGACATCATTGGTACCAAACAGGAGGACTAATTGATCAAGCTCAAAAGGTGACATGCGGAATGCGTGAATGTGATTATGCTCATTAGAGACGTGAAATTGAGCACACAGGAAAGAGATATGGGACGGAGGTATCTCCTTGCGGTATGGTCGTCTTGCAATGTATCACCTATCCGTCAAGGACTCGTGTAGAAGTAAGAAGGATGCGAGATATTGTCGATACCTGGAAATGGTGGCAAGGGGAAGAAACTGGTCAATGTAAACTTTGATCTCACGCAAGTAGGTTTCTTTGGGGTATGTTTTTGGCATCCTGACCAAGTGCTGTATGACTCTGAGTCTTTTTCAAGAAGAAATAACGCTTGTCAATCTGATCATGAAGAACATGAATGTGATGACCTGTGGACGCACATGGAGCAATCTAGCATAGAGGGATGCACATTTAAGTCGCCTTCCAGTTGCAAGCGTGGGGTGTGTCAATTTCATCTGCCTGTCGATTGCATTTCCTGAACGGGAATTGACACCCACTAGTGCTGCACCTTTTCTGGCTGAGTTTCTGAATTGTCATATTCTTTCTAGATGGCAACAAGTTCTCCTTCCTCCCAGAGGCCACATAGGTTGTGTTTCATCTCCCTTGATGGATTGAACCTCTTTTCTTCCCATCAAATTTTTAAAACTCAGTCGGAGATGTCCGCCACCTACAATGTCCTTGAATCCTTCCCGTTTTACCTTCCTCCTCAATCTAGTCATTGACACTTGAGTTCTTCACCTTAAATTGCCGCCCAACACTTAACATGCCCAAGAAACGTGGAAATGGTAGACCACAAGTCCCGTCCCTACTAGACGGGGTGGGTGCCGTTTCTTTCTTCATAATACCAGATCCTTTCCGGCTGGACCCATCCTCAACCCAGGAAGACCGACAGACGGTGGAAGTCGAAGCAAGAGGGGGATTGACGTCGGACAAGCTTGTAGACGATCTGGATTTCTACTTTGAAGGGGAAGAGCTCTCTTTCCCTAGATTGGACCTAGAACATGATGTCAGACAGCTTGTGAAAGGGGAACACTGGATTGTCAGTAGCACAGCTCCTATAGTCTGGCTAGAGAGGGACGATGATGGTCTCCCAATGTTTGACATTCCCGGTAGTGATAAGTGGACAAAAGTTGGAAAGCTCTTTGAGCTACCAGACACTGTAGTTGCACAGGTGTTTGATAAAGGACTGGACGGTATGCTGTCAAAGTTCCACACCTCTGTGTGGTCCTACTATCAACATGAAGAGGAGTTCCAACCCGTTCCACTAAATGAAGAGTGCAAGCATGATCTTATCCGTATCTTACGTTCAATAGAGATCGTTTTGAGCCGTGCAGCAACCTTGACCTGTTCGGAGGATAGAGACATGGCCATGCAAGCACGAGAAGGTTGGGAAAGATGGAAAGATGAGCTTGAGGCAAGAGCAGCCGGCCACGGTATCTTTGGAGAGACTGGCAAGCCCTACATGGAACTGGTCCAGAAGACACTTTGTTCCGTCACTGAATATGAAGAGAGCTTTAGTAAGTTATCTTGTTTGTCTTTCGAGGCAATTTACTAATGATGTAGGGGTGTGGAGTACAGAGTCTGCGCCCAAGAATGCCAAGACTACAAATACTCCCAATGAAGGTGAAACCAAAAACGCCAGGCGTAGAGAGAAAGACACTGCTCTCAGCACTTGCTGTAGGACTTTGGGTAAGATATTAGGACTGTTTATTCTGCCAAAATCGGCCAATGGGACCAGTGTTTACAATGTGATTCAAAGACTGGACAGTGAAGCAAGAGCATTGAGTCTCATAGATGTTGATCCTCTCCCCAAACTTGATCAATGTACCCCTGCAATTCTAGGGCTGTATACTCAAAGGATTGCTACCGCTCACACGGCACAGTCTGCACACAAACTTCCACATAATGTGCCCAGTGTTGGTGACTCTGTGAGAGAGGATGGAGGTCTAGGTCCCAGCTCCTTGGGCGGGTCTGCACCATCACCATCAGTGGACTCTGTATGGAGCCAGAAGGGGGACACTCACACAGTCGAACTTCTTAACTCCCCTGTAGGAGGGACAGAAAGTCATATCTCAAAAGTCTCATCTGTGTTGAGGTCTCAGAGGGACCCCATGCACGACCATACTGATCCAACCACTAGGAGTCTATCCCCTGGCAAGCCATCTTCTAGCGGCCCCTTTGAGAACTTCCAACAGGACAAAGCAGTTTCCTACCGTGGAGGCGAACGTGCTACTGTCTCTGATAGCTATTTGCCAGAGGATATTTATACACATGCCCAGTCTTACTGCTAAGGAAGCCTACAAGAATTGACCATTTCAACATCAGATTCACAACATTATAACATACACCTCACCAATCGGACAGCAACTGTACGGGTTCTAATTCAGTTCATAGATTCTCTTACGTGGCCGATGGAAGACGTGGCATTTCAAATTGTCATGAGGGTCTCCATGCCCCAAGGAAGATGTCACGGGTGGGAGCTGAGGTCCTAATTCAGCATCATGTCTCTGATGTCATGCCAACCTATACTGTCAGTTTTGGGTAGTCAAACAGTCTCTTTTGTGACAAGTAGAAGTTTTCAGTGCCTCATGATCTTGTCCATCTGGCAACTAGATATGGTAGCTCTGCTTGAGATAGCAGCATCAATGCATGGTAATCTCTCTACATGAGACCATATATAGGTTATACATAGACATGTTGTGTTGTGGTGATCTTCCTGTGTCTATTACTTTTTATAGGATGATCGAGATAGATTCTCCCTGTCTCAGTGTTAGGATCACGGGTACCTAAGGCAGGTTGTCACGTGATCTACGGACACTGTGACACTTCGGAGCGCCATGACATTCTCCTGTGACACTCTGAAGGGTCATGGTCAAGAGTGCATGACCCACAGAAGAATTGCTCCTCACCAACAACTGTTGATTCAGACAATCACACCATTCTGTAGGGGGATATTGGAGGCTGTGGGAAGGTACTGGAGCAATTTTTTACTCAACTCTGTATGCATGAGGTGATAAAGTGTGCCGAATGATCCTTGATAATAGACCAAAAGAGAGGGGAAACATGCATCTCTGGCATGTATTTCTGGCTGGACATTGTACAATGAGGCTTCCCCCACCCAGTCATGCCTCAGGGTGGGGTCTGGAAGTTGTGCGGTCAAGTTGACATGGATTCTTCTGTCGGTCACATCTTCTGTTGGTCATGATAAGCCCTTGTCAGGGTATGCCTTATAAGGGAGCCCGAGAATGCTAGGCAGAACTTGAGTATTGAGCCTATTAGCAAGGATGTTATGATGCAGGTTGTTTACTGCATTGGTGACAGTGTGCTCAAAATCTACACTGGTGCTCCTAGCGTCGATATCTATCGACGTGATGTGAAGCTATAATGGCTTGGTGTATGGGCAAGAGTTCGGGATTTTGGACAAACATGCCTCATGGCCACTCTCCACGACTATGCTACACCATCAGCCCGTCGTGCTGACTCGCGAGGGAGTGAAGGCTTTGATATCGTGAGGATGTAGGATCACTTGTCGATCGCCTACGCTCCTCGTTTTGACGAAAGCCACGTAATAGCATGTATGACTGACGGGTCCTTCAAATGTACCTTGACCTATCTGGGCT